CTACAAAAGAAGAAGCATGTGAAGGCTAGACAAACAGAGTATTAAAATTGATAATAAGTGGTGTATTTTACCAATGGAAACTAATGAGAAGACAATAAAACACCACGTGTTGCTGTCAAGAGCCATAAAAGTGTTTGATGTGCGTGACCGTGTGATGATAAAAGATTGAGTAGTGAATTAATTTTTAAAAAAGAATGGAGGCGGAAGAGGACAGTATAAATCCTTTATTAAAAAAATGTATTCTCTGATCTCTCCTTTGATAAATTATTATTTATTTTTAGCTTTTTTTTCTACCTTTCAGCTTGTCAGAAAGCTGGAACACTACTGGAGGGATTTGTCGTGATGAAATATCTGTGGGACATAAGGTTTTTAACTGTCAGCGCACAGCATTGTCATGGAAGAAGTGTTTTCAGATGTTGCTTCTAGTCATAGTTTGTTCTTAGAATGAAGGCCACAAGTAATGAATATTTCTTGGAGTGTTTTTCCTGGTCATGGAGAGCTTAAAAAACATAGTTGTTGGATTTTTTTTCTTTTCTTTTTTTTACTAAAATCTAAGAAAGACTTAAACACTTAAAGGACTGCAATCCATATGATTATGGACTGAAATACTTTATTTAATTGTTTTAATCCCAGAACACATTATCACTTAGTGATGTGGAAAATTATGCAGATATTTATTCAGATTTCAGACAAATGCTGACTCGACCTCAGTAATGAAATGATCTGGGCAGGGCTACTGTGACCTTGCAGAACACATTTTTACTGGGAACTCAAGTATTAATACGCTAGTTATAGCAAAATTTCACACAGTTTCATGTGCCAGTTAAACTGTTCAAAAGAAAAGTTGTCTTGGATCAATGTGGCATATTTGTGTCCAAACAAACAAAACATCATTTTTTAACTGCTTATTAGCTAAAAATTGATTTGAAAGAGTCCTGCAAATCACATTTTCTTAATAAATGCCACTCGTTTTTAGAGGCATACAATTATAAAAGTGCAATATGCAACTTAATGGAAATCATAACTGTTTAAAAAAAATAATTTGGACAATATTTTGATTTACAACAAAACTGAAGTTAAATTAAATAGTTAATTATAACTACTACTGTGCCATTTACAGTTAATATGTGTGTGTGTATTAAATATCTGTAAATTTATATGTTAATGGAGTTATACAACCAAATACATGTAACAAATTGTAAGAAAGGATTTATGATAGGGTGGGGCATGAACAAAAATAAAAAGTGGGTATTATTTACCGAAGGAGCTGGGATTAAAAGAAAGTCTAAATAAATAATAAGTATTATTTTTTCTTTATACTTTGTTGTATTATTTTAAAATGTTCAAAATAAAGTCATACACTATATTACAGTAATGTACAGTCTGGTAAAATTGTATTACGTATTTGTTTGTCTTATCAAATTTTTATACCTGAGGTCATTATTATCTTGTCAACTGTATTTGTCAGCAGCTCCCCTATGATACTATGCACTGGTTAAGCAAAGATTTAATCCCTGCATCATGGTCTATATATGAAATAATTTAATTATAGTTTTTTTCAAAGAAGTTAAATGGGTTTCTGCTCTTTATTTGAGAAGTTTGTAGTCTGACATGCAGCACTTGGTTAAGAATTCACCCGGAAGAGATTGTGGAGACCATTATTCTGTATGGCAGAGAATATAATGAAGTTTCACCGTGGGCTCTGTATTCATGCCCCATAGTCTAAGACACCTACTGACCGCCAATGTGCAAGACGTAGGAGGTTACCCTGAGGTTAGAACAGAACACAATTCTATGGTTGTCCGCATCACAACATGTAGTCAGTAAATATTCCTCTAACAGCCAATGTCTCAAGACAGTAGAGGATAAAAGCACTTTTCTGTTCCTGGAATTTTGATGTGTCATCAATAATAGAGAAAAGATTGGTGCAGAAGTGAGAGGGCAATAAAAAGGGGTCAAGCTGCAGGAAGAAGTTCATGATGAGGGCAGGAGTGAAGGGAAGATTAAATGTTGTTTGAGCTCTGAATACAGATGGTTTCATTCTGTGGTGGTGATTTTTGCACACTTCCACAATTTCGACAGCTAAATACAGAAACGCTGTCGCTCCACTGGAGTTACTGAATGCGTACTAGCAGAAGAAAAATGCTGTGAACCAGGGCTAAGTCAGTGGATATATTAATGGCTCATATTGTGAGCAATAATTTGCTTCACTAGTTTTATTTACAGTAATACAATAAATACAGATTAGATGGCAAAGTGAAATGTCATTAGTCTAAACCTATTAATCTTTTGAATCAACTAGAAACAAAACAAAAACACTTTTGCAAGTTCAATGTTTTAAAGTGTTAATATCTTCATAGGAAAGACTATAAGTAATCACTGCGTGCATTGCTCCCTCTCCACCACTCCAGGATCTACCACAATTTCTGTGTTGATTATATTTGTTGGGAGTGATGAGCTCAGGGTCTACATGCCAAACTCTAACTGCTGCAAAAAAAAGAATGACAATGTGATGTGAAACTGATTCAAAAGGAAAAGCTGCTGAAAAATCTACTGTCTGTTAGAGAAAATTTCCTCATGAAAATTAACATAGGAACAGCTGGGATCTAAAATAAAGCAAATACAGATGTTTTATTAGTTGCAGTCATATATTGAATACTTAATTCAGTTGTTTCATGATTGAATTAAGATTAAAATTCAAAATCGTGCCATCATGTTGGCACTTCAAAGTAGTTATTTCTCTGATAGAGGAAAATATCTGCAAAATATCAGATGGATACAGTACTTATGAATCAGAGGTAAGTTAATCTTTCTTGGAGGGAAACAATAATAGCTTTTACAACAAGAGCTGAGCATTTCAGAGGTACTGTGTGCACTTTTGTACAAAACTGAAAATGGCTGTTTTATGGTAGAAAAAGATTGGTCACTAATAAGGATTTACTATAAATGCAAACCAGATGTATGTATCACCATATCAAGAACTGTAAAACACTGAAATGATTTCTCTTTAGAGTCAAATGTAAATAATATATTATAGATAATTCAGTATATTTTTTTTCATAGGAATTACACAGTGTGGAATGATCATATCCCACTAGAAATAAAGAAATATGTACAGTTAGTTTCAACTCTCCAAAAATGCGAAAGTTTTCTGATTATCTGCTTCTGTCATCCGGCAGGCTGTGAAATGCCTACACCGAGTTCAAAGTTGTGACTAGTTTAAAGGCAACAAAAGTTGTATCACCACAGCTAAAAAGAGGCCACGGGTAGGTCATGTAACAACAGGGAACCACACAAATAAATAAAGAGGGAGATTTTTCTTTCTCTTCAGTTACTGGCAGAGTGTTGGGCTGTCCAAGAAGCCTGAAAACCATTTTTTATCATTCACATTGTCATACATACATTTATACATACATATTACATAGGCTGCTTTTGGACCTCGTAGCTGTGTAGGGAGAAAAAGACATGGTTTGCCAGAAAACAGTCAAATATATGCAATCGGCAGCAGGGAAGGTGCACAGTATTTGTTTTTCAGGAAAAGGTGGTGATCTGCTACTGTCGGCAGTTTGGTGAGGTTACATATCTTTGGTCAGCAGTGGATGCGAAATAACTGATAACATGTGCGATTACATTAACTGCCATAAAGCTGAGTTCTGCTGTGTAACCATATATGGTCCATGTTACACAGTCAGCTCGTGCTCTCCTCTTCATAAGTAATCCACAAGAGCCATTGTCGGTAAACAGTACCTGCAAACTGTTCCCACTGAAGCAAAGAAGAGGGATTCTTTGAATAAGACACAGATCAAATCCTTTAAGTGTTTTGGATTCTCCACTTTGATACTGATGCCTCTCACCCCAGCTGACATCTGCAGTGAGTGGATTCTTGGCACACACCATTTTTCCCCTCATAACAGCTGTCTTCAAATAAACCAACAAAAATGTCCCTTCTTCACTTTCCACAGTTGGCAAAAACAACAAGTGCCTATTTTAGGCAAGGTCCAGCCAGTCTATTCTTCCCAGCTGCCACAGGACCAGAGGGCCTCCAGGGGGTACTGACTCTGGACCACCATGGAGCGGAGTGACCCTGGTAGAGAGCGCTAGCTTTGTCGGCGATAGGTCGACTGTTTGTGGGCCACCCGGGAACATGAAGCACAGCATGTTGTCTTGTAGTAATCATACACGCAGAGGCGAGCCTGGACCACCACATTGCAGTTGAAGTATTTGTCTCTGCAGTTCTCATCTGAATACAAAATAAGAGTTGATAATATAATTCAATAAAGATATGGCAGTGGAGCCACAGAGTTTCAGGGAAACTGGGAGGACATTCCCTTTATTATGCTCACAATGTGTTGATGCCAAAAATCATCAATAAATATTCATTCAGGTCAATCGTATAAAAAGTTGACTGACCTATCTGAGGTATGCAGGGCCCTGGGTTGCAGTCCTCCTTCTCTTCTGGTTTCAACTGCACATCGCAGCCCTCACTGGACAGCATGTCATCAGACAGACAGCGCACCTCTCTCACACGGAAACCTCCTTCACATGTTTTGGAGCACTTGAAGGGCAAGAGTCAGTGACAGTAATCATTCTCATATGCTTGCCCTAAAGTCAGGGAGGATATCACAGCAACTATGCTATACATTACGATCAAAATTTGATCAATTATTTCAATTAAATTTCTAATAGGGAAAATGGGATAATCTGGTTTTGAGGTGTCAGATGTAAAAAGGTGATGCTAGGCACCAATCCGAGTTTAGTGGGCTGCTTGGGTACTGTCAGTTAAATCTGACCAGTCAAAATCCTGAAAAGAAAGGTTCAAGGGAAATTGTGCTATTGATGTACTTTAATTAGTATTAA